CAGCGAGGAAGAAGAACAAGGACATGGATCTAATGATGGACCTGTAACCGTTTGGATTTTGGTAGGATATGTGTAGCTGGGTCAGGGTAAGTACGGGTTCAAAGCATTTTGTGGACACGAAATGAATTTTGTATGAATGTGGTGCCTTGTTTACGCCGTGCTCTTATTCTCACGGTTGAGTGGCAAATTAGTAAGTTTGTATAAACGTAAAGTGTTGTGTACTGTATGTGTGCTTATTGTATGTTTATTGCCCTCATATTGGAAGCGTCAAGTACTTATATTGTTTGTGTATTGGTATATTATTGTCTCATATTGGAATCGTAGAGTACTTATATTGTTGTTTTATTGTTTTTGTATTGCTACTGTATTGTGTCATATTGTGATCGTAGGGTAGGTATATTGTGGTTGTATTGATGCTTTATTGATTGGCATCATAGCATATAGCTTTTCCAATTGAGTAATGGTAAAGAGGTACTGTAGCAAAGGTCGTAACGATGGCGGGTTTAGGAAAGTTTGGTGGTTCTGAAGCACGAAAATATCCATGGAAAGATCGGAAAGATATCGATTCCATACAAACCACGGACAGTATACATACATGCAAATTTTTACGTGGAACAAAAATACAGTTATGAAAGGAAGAATTAAATACGAAATAAAAAAAAGGAGGGTGTTCATTTAAGTAAACAAGCAACAATTTGAAGGGATAGTAATTTCAGTACTTATAATGAACCTTCGAATTAAAGAAGCAATAACATGAAATGGATTAAAAAGGGTTTGTAATGAATGACATCAAGTAATGAAATAATTGAGCAACAATATAGAACACTAAGTAAATAATTTTCATTTTGCAAAACAGGTTCGAACACTTATAAATACCAGAGTCCATAGTCAGTAATCAAAAAGCGATGACTGGCGTTGTGGTTAAGTAGCTCAGAACCTAGAAGGGGGGAAGGGTTTCATCCTCTGTGTGTGTGACTTCAAGTGAATAATGCTTTTGTATTTAAAGTTCACATCACAATAGATCGCGATATTATAGATAATATCGCGATCTGTTGACCATGTGTAGCTGCATGTATACTTTCCCAAAAATTCTCTATATATTCTGTTCTGTGGCGATGAGAAGAATGAGCAATCATGAAGTACTACCAGTATCACAGTAATTGCGTAAGCTTTGCATTTGAAGGAGTTTTATGTACGAGATGCAATTGTAGTTAGCCTTCTAGGCGCTTTCATTTTGGACGCAACAAAAGGACAGCAGCATGACGATAGTGTGAATATACAGACAGGAATACACTAGGAAAGGAAAGCAATTTATGAGAATTTGACTACAATCACAATAGAGAACACCAAATCAAATTCAATTCAATTTCAAATGAAAGGTACATAACAAACGAACAGAAATGCTAATCTGAAACACACATTGGCCAGTAGAACATTGTTAATTTACAGCTGGTTTCACTGTGGTGATGGCACTGTATGTTCACCAATTTCTACTAATAATAGGCTGTCATTGCAAAGGACTTGTTACCTTGTTCCATATGCTTCACATGACCGTTGAGTGGACCGACTTCCATCCCTGCAGCATCACCGAAGCTATTCATCAACTTCGCAGTTGACCAAAACAGAGGTAGAAACTAAACAAGTGTAACATCTACGCAACGTGCTGCTTGTTGGTGAGAGGGACAGATTGTTTGCATGTACTTCGGTAGTGGCCCTTCACACCACACCTTGAGCATTTTTTTTGACGGGACTCCTCTCCTCTCGAAGCTATTCTTTGCGTTTTGCGACGGCCCGGCATAACCTTACAAAGAGGAGGGAGGATTTTGACCTTCTTCAAATTTGGGGAATAACCCATGTGCCTTCAGGTGGTACAGGATAAATAGATTCAGCATATGCAGCTGCCCATGTAGCTCGTGTATAATAAGAAGAGGCAAAGGAGTAGGGGTTCAATTTCAAGTGCCGACATACCGCAATAGCGTGCTTGCACGGGAGTTGCTCCAAGTCAAACTTCCTGCATGTACAACTACGGTTTTGCAAGTGCACCAGACCGTTCAAATCACCATCCAGAACATTATACTCGACGTCATTGATTTTGACCACATTCATCCTTGACGCAGCGTCTAACCTCTTCCTTAACTTAATTTCCCCTAAATCAGGGCACAACGTAGAATGAGATTTCATTGCTAACTCTCGACGTTGCCTAAACCAACAGACAAGTAGATTTGTAATTTCGTCAATCAAGTGTAGCACCGGAAGCATCCTTGCAAACCGAAGAACTGAATTAATGGACTCCACAATATTCGTTGTCATCACATTATATCGTCGTCCATCACAATGGGCCCGAGACCACTTCTGGATGCCTGCACGTAGTAAATAAGTTCGCACTCGGTCATTGTTTATCCTGGAAAAGTGACGATTGAACTCCGCTAGACGATAAGACTTAGCTGCCCTTACAAAATACCCCAATATCGGATCCCGCTGCTTCAACTTAAATGAGGCTTTGATATTGCCTTTCAAGTGATAAAAGCAAATACCATGGCTTGCCCCAGGAAAAACTCTACGCAACCCATTCTGTATGCTAACATTGCGATCTGATATGACAACGAGATTCGAGCAATCACCAATTGCACAATGTAGTTTTCTCAAAAACCACTCCCAAGCTGCATCCGTCTCCAAATCTCCAATCCCAAAGGCAACAGGATATATGTTCCGATTTCCATCAAATGCGGTCGCAACAAACAAAACACCTCTATACTTGCACTTCAAATGAGTAGCATCAACAGCAATCACGGGCCGCATTGACGACTTAAATCCTCGTATGCATGCACCAATTGCCATAAAAAAATATAAGAAGTGATCAGCTGCATCAGTCTCAATGTATGTCAAAGTTCCCGGATTTGTACGCTCCAATTCATAACAATAGGAAGGGAGAAGGGAATACGACTCTTCTGCAGACCCTCTAATTCTTTTGAAAGCTAACTCTCGGCTTCTCCACGCTGTAGAGTAGCTTATGCTCACACCGAAATTTTGTTTCACATCTTTCTTGATATCAGCTGCTGTATAAATGCTGCGCGAATCCTGAAATCTCCACTTAACACAGTCAGACAGCAGTTCAGTCGTAGCTTGAGGATGATGACTACTTATATACGTTATATCACATTCATGAAGTGGATCGTATTTAACAACCTTAAACTCATGTAATCCAACTTTATATGCCCGAACTTTCCAAGGGCAAGGAAGCTGCCAACAGCGAACACACAACCGATGCTTCCCAGATTGGACAGTTCTCAATCGAAAGTGGCCTGTAATAGCTGCTAAACTGATGGTTTTTAAAAGGGCAATCTTATTTGGATAAACTCGGCCAACCTTCAAATTTGCTTCCCAATTTATGCACGAAACGCCTCCACCATACTGAATATATTCCAAACTCTGACCATGCTTCAAATCACCCCGACTTGTATGCATTTCAGTCGAACTTGATTGTCGGGGAGGTTCGGATTGCACCTGTCTACACTGCACAGTGGACGGTTCGACATTGCTGTCCTCATGAGGATGCAGAATCGGAGCAGACTGCGGTTCCTCTTCGTTGCTAGGTTCATTGAAATCAGCAACTATGTTTTCACCACTTTCAAAATTCACTTCTTCAACCCAATCACTCCAATTAAAATCATTCCCACCATTTTCAGTTTCATTGTCCCGAATTACCACATTTCTTTGTTCCACAACAAAGTCAGCAGGAGCATTGCTACTCTCAACGCTTACAATGCCATTGCACCCTTCAATACCATGACCTTCAATATTTTTCAAGCTTGCTACTAAAGGGGTTACTTTAGAGGCCATAACATCTGTGTTGTACTTTACAAAATATTTAACATCATCATTGTCTTCAACCCTTATATGCTTACAGACAGATGAGGATACAGGAACTGAATATTTCAGTGTGACAATATATTTCGTGGGATCTGCATCCATGATCTTATAAATGCGCTGAACAAGGTCGGAAAACGTTACATTCCGTGACACTATTATGCCTTTAGCCTCCCCACCTTCGTAACTCTCAATGTTATCCTTCTTAACCCAACTTCCATTGTAGCATACCAATATTCCAACAGTATCCATTTCTGCAAATAACATAGATAATTACTACAGCAATGAATAAAACTAAAAAAGATACATTCAAACAAATAAAAACATACCACTACACGTATCATTTTATAAATCTTCCAAACTCAAATTCTAGCTGCTTCAACAAGGAACTTTTATTCATTTCTGTCTTTTCTCTGATTTTGTACATAGCTGTGGGTTCCAAGTTATTCACAAACTCACATAAACATACCATGGCAGCAATATGAACCCTCTAACCTCTAAGGGTTTTCAACAAATGTAAACTACTTCAACAAAAGGCTCAGGTTGTGATACAGAACATATTATGTGGTATAAGCTCAATTACCAAATTGGAAACCAAAACACACAAACTTTACTTCTTACCAAAACAAACCCAGAATGCCAATAAATTCCCCACATTAGCATATACATTCAGCCTAAAACTACCCTAACAAACCTACTTTTAGGCCAGACAAAGTTAACATATGATTTTTCTGTGTGCTGTTATTTTGCCCATTATCAAACACATTGCACTACATTATACAAGCATTCCGTCAATTTTAACCAAAATTCAAGTTTACCACATACATCCCACTGCAGATAATAACACAAACTATGAATTTCAACATATCATAACGCCTTGAAACTGAAAATTTAAGCTCTTCTGCCCTTCTGTGGTGAAAAGGGGATGCACGATTTTATAATACACATACACTACCAAACCAATATCTGAACTCACCTCCGTTCACAACGACGCCGGAAGTCGCCACTTTCGCTTCTCCGTGGAGTCGCAACAGTCACTTCGATCTGGAGGTCAACAATGGAGGCGGTGCGTTCCGCCGGCTTCGCTACGGTCAAACTAGGGTTCGAAAGTTTAGGACATCTGGGTTGTGACTATGGATGGGTTGCGAACTGGATTGCTCAGTGCCAAAATGTCTCGCAACCTAGAGTTCCCCCATTTTTGCCAAACTGCGAAAACAGAGAACAAAGAGCCGCTATGCCAAACTGCGAAAACACAGAAGAAAGAGGCGCTAAAGGGTTCTTTTATATGGAGGGCACTTCGGTCATTTCACGTCCCCAAGTGATTATATTAGAATACATTTTTTTTTTTTTTTTTTTTTTTTTTTTTTTTTTTTTTTTTTTTTTTTTTTTTTTTTTTTTTTTTTTTTTTTTTTTTTTTTTTTTTTTTTTTTTTTTTTTTTTTTTTTTTTTTTTTTTTTTTTTTTTTTTTTTTTTTTTTTTTTTTTTTTTTTTTTTTTTTTTTTTTTTTTTTTTTTTTTTTTTTTTTTTTTTTTTTTTTTTTTTTTTTTTTTTTTTTTTTTTTTTTTTTTTTTTTTTTTTTTTTTTTTTTTTTTTTTTTTTTTTTTTTTTTTTTTTTTTTTTTTTTTTTTTTTTTTTTTTTTTTTTTTTTTTTTTTTTTTTTTTTTTTTTTTTTTTTTTTTTTTTTTTTTTTTTTTTTTTTTTTTTTTTTTTTTTTTTTTTTTTTTTTTTGTGTATTCTAATATAATCACTTGGGGACGTGAAATGACCGAAGTGCCCTCCATATAAAAGCAGATGTATCAACCCTTTAGCGCCTCTTTCTTCTGTGTTTTCGCAGTTTGGCATAGCGGCTCTTTGTTCTCTGTTTTCGCAGTTTGGCAAAAATGGGGGAACTCTAGGTTGCGAGACATTTTGGCACTGAGCAATCCAGTTCGCAACCCATCCATAGTCACAACCCAGATGTCCTAAACTTTCGAACCCTAGTTTGACCGTAGCGAAGCCGGCGGAACGCACCGCCTCCATTGTTGACCTCCAGATCGAAGTGACTGTTGCGACTCCACGGAGAAGCGAAAGTGGCGACTTCCGGCGTCGTTGTGAACGGAGGTGAGTTCAGATATTGGTTTGGTAGTGTATGTGTATTATAAAATCGTGCATCCCCTTTTCACCACAGAAGGGCAGAAGAGCTTAAATTTTCAGTTTCAAGGCGTTATGATATGTTGAAATTCATAGTTTGTGTTATTATCTGCAGTGGGATGTATGTGGTAAACTTGAATTTTGGTTAAAATTGACGGAATGCTTGTATAATGTAGTGCAATGTGTTTGATAATGGGCAAAATAACAGCACACAGAAAAATCATATGTTAACTTTGTCTGGCCTAAAAGTAGGTTTGTTAGGGTATTTTTAGGCTGAATGTATATGCTAATGTGGGGAATTTATTGGCATTCTGGGTTTGTTTTGGTAAGAAGTAAAGTTTGTGTGTTTTGGTTTCCAATTTGGTAATTGAGCTTATACCACATAATATGTTCTGTATCACAACCTGAGCCTTTTGTTGAAGTAGTTTACATTTGTTGAAAACCCTTAGAGGTTAGAGGGTTCATATTGCTGCCATGGTATGTTTATGTGAGTTTGTGAATAACTTGGAACCCACAGCTATGTACAAAATCAGAGAAAAGACAGAAATGAATAAAAGTTCCTTGTTGAAGCAGCTAGAATTTGAGTTTGGAAGATTTATAAAATGATACGTGTAGTGGTATGTTTTTATTTGTTTGAATGTATCTTTTTTAGTTTTATTCATTGCTGTAGTAATTATCTATGTTATTTGCAGAAATGGATACTGTTGGAATATTGGTATGCTACAATGGAAGTTGGGTTAAGAAGGATAACATTGAGAGTTACGAAGGTGGGGAGGCTAAAGGCATAATAGTGTCACGGAATGTAACGTTTTCCGACCTTGTTCAGCGCATTTATAAGATCATGGATGCAGATCCCACGAAATATATTGTCACACTGAAATATTCAGTTCCTGTATCCTCATCTGTCTGTAAGCATATAAGGGTTGAAGACAATGATGATGTTAAATATTTTGTAAAGTACAACACAGATGTTATGGCCTCTAAAGTAACCCCTTTAGTAGCAAGCTTGAAAAATATTGAAGGTCATGGTATTGAAGGGTGCAATGGCATTGTAAGCGTTGAGAGTAGCAATGCTCCTGCTGACTTTGTTGTGGAACAAAGAAATGTGGTAATTCGGGACAATGAAACTGAAAATGGTGGGAATGATTTTAATTGGAGTGATTGGGTTGAAGAAGTGAATTTTGAAAGTGGTGAAAACATAGTTGCTGATTTCAATGAACCTAGCAACGAAGAGGAACCGCAGTCTGCTCCGATTCTGCATCCTCATGAGGACAGCAATGTCGAACCGTCCACTGTGCAGTGTAGACAGGTGCAATCCGAACCTCCCCGACAATCAAGTTCGACTGAAATGCATACAAGTCGGGGTGATTTGAAGCATGGTCAGAGTTTGGAATATATTCAGTATGGTGGAGGCGTTTCGTGCATAAATTGGGAAGCAAATTTGAAGGTTGGCCGAGTTTATCCAAATAAGATTGCCCTTTTAAAAAACCATCAGTTTAGCAGCTATTACAGGCCACTTTCGATTGAGAACTGTCCAATCTGGGAAGCATCGGTTGTGTGTTCGCTGTTGGCAGCTTCCTTGCCCTTGGAAAGTTCGGGCATATAAAGTTGGATTACATGAGTTTAAGGTTGTTAAATACGATCCACTTCATGAATGTGATATAACGTATATAAGTAGTCATCATCCTCAAGCTACGACTGAACTGCTGTCTGACTGTGTTAAGTGGAGATTTCAGGATTCGCGCAGCATTTATACAGCAGCTGATATCAAGAAAGATGTGAAACAAAATTTCGGTGTGAGCATAAGCTACTCTACAGCGTGGAGAAGCCGAGAGTTAGCTTTCAAAAGAATTAGAGGGTCTGCAGAAGAGTCGTATTCCCTTCTCCCTTCCTATTGTTATGAATTGGAGCGTACAAATCCGGGAACTTTGACATACATTGAGACTGATGCAGCTGATCACTTCTTATATTTTTTTATGGCAATTGGTGCATGCATACGAGGATTTAAGTCGTCAATGCGGCCCGTGATTGCTGTTGATGCTACTCATTTGAAGTGCAAGTATAGAGGTGTTTTGTTTGTTGCGACCGCATTTGATGGAAATCGGAACATATATCCTGTTGCCTTTGGGATTGGAGATTTGGAGACGGATGCAGCTTGGGAGTGGTTTTTGAGAAAACTACATTGTGCAATTGGTGATTGCTCGAATCTCGTTGTCATATCAGATCGCAATGTTAGCATACAGAATGGGTTGCGTAGAGTTTTTCCTGGGGCAAGCCATGGTATTTGCTTTTATCACTTGAAAGGCAATATCAAAGCCTCATTTAAGTTGAAGCAGCGGATCCGATATTGGGGTATTTTGTAAGGGCAGCTAAGTCTTATCGTCTAGCGGAGTTCAATCGTCACTTTTCCAGGATAAACAATGACCGAGTGCGAACTTATTTACTACGTGCAGGCATCCAGAAGTGGTCTCGGGCCCATTGTGATGGACGACGATATAATGTGATGACAACGAATATTGTGGAGTCCATTAATTCAGTTCTTCGGTTTGCAAGGATGCTTCCGGTGCTACACTTGATTGACGAAATTACAAATCTACTTGTCTGTTGGTTTAGGCAACGTCGAGAGTTAGCAATGAAATCTCATTCTACGTTGTGCCCTGATTTAGGGGAAATTAAGTTAAGGAAGAGGTTAGACGCTGCGTCAAGGATGAATGTGGTCAAAATCAATGACGTCGAGTATAATGTTCTGGATGGTGATTTGAACGGTCTGGTGCACTTGCAAAACCGTAGTTGTACATGCAGGAAGTTTGACTTGGAGCAACTCCCGTGCAAGCACGCTATTGCGGTATGTCGGCACTTGAAATTGAACCCCTACTCCTTTGCCTCTTCTTATTATACACGAGCTACATGGGCAGCTGCATATGCTGAATCTATTTATCCTGTACCACCTGAAGGCACATGGGTTATTCCCCAAATTTGAAGAAGGTCAAAATCCTCCCTCCTCTTTGTAAGGTTATGCCGGGCCGTCGCAAAACGCAAAGAATAGCTTCGAGAGGAGAGGAGTCCCGTCAAAAAAAATGCTCAAGGTGTGGTGTGAAGGGCCACTACCGAAGTACATGCAAACAATCTGTCCCTCTCACCAACAAGCAGCACGTTGCGTAGATGTTACACTTGTTTAGTTTCTACCTCTGTTTTGGTCAACTGCGAAGTTGATGAATAGCTTCGGTGATGCTGCAGGGATGGAAGTCGGTCCACTCAACGGTCATGTGAAGCATATGGAACAAGGTAACAAGTCCTTTGCAATGACAGCCTATTATTAGTAGAAATTGGTGAACATACAGTGCCATCACCACAGTGAAACCAGCTGTAAATTAACAATGTTCTACTGGCCAATGTGTGTTTCAGATTAGCATTTCTGTTCGTTTGTTATGTACCTTTCATTTGAAATTGAATTGAATTTGATTTGGTGTTCTCTATTGTGATTGTAGTCAAATTCTCATAAATTGCTTTCCTTTCCTAGACACGTCTGTATTCCTGTCTGTATATTCACACTATCGTCATGCTGCTGTCCTTTTGTTGCGTCCAAAATGAAAGCGCCTAGAAGGCTAACTACAATTGCATCTCGTACATAAAACTCCTTCAAATGCAAAGCTTACGCAATTACTGTGATACTGGTAGTACTTCATGATTGCTCATTCTTCTCATCGCCACAGAACAGAATATATAGAGAATTTTTGGGAAAGTATACATGCAGCTACACATGGTCAACAGATCGCGATATTATCTATAATATCGCGATCTATTGTGATGTGAACTTTAAATACAAAAGCATTATTCACTTGAAGTCACACACACAGAGGATGAAACCCTTCCCCCCTTCTAGGTTCTGAGCTACTTAACCACAACGCCAGTCATCGCTTTTTGATTACTGACTATGGACTCTGGTATTTATAAGTGTTCGAACCTGTTTTGCAAAATGAAAATTATTTACTTAGTGTTCTATATTGTTGCTCAATTATTTCATTACTTGATGTCATTCATTACAAACCCTTTTTAATCCATTTCATGTTATTGCTTCTTTAATTCGAAGGTTCATTATAAGTACTGAAATTACTATCCCTTCAAATTGTTGCTTGTTTACTTAAATGAACACCCTCCTTTTTTTTATTTCGTATTTAATTCTTCCTTTCATAACTGTATTTTTGTTCCACGTAAAAATTTGCATGTATGTATACTGTCCGTGGTTTGTATGGAATCGATATCTTTCCGATCTTTCCATGGATATTTTCGTGCTTCAGAACCACCAAACTTTCCTAAACCCGCCATCGTTACGACCTTTGCTACAGTACCTCTTTACCATTACTCAATTGGAAAAGCTATATGCTATGATGCCAATCAATAAAGCATCAATACAACCACAATATACCTACCCTACGATCACAATATGACACAATACAGTAGCAATACAAAAACAATAAAACAACAATATAAGTACTCTACGATTCCAATATGAGACAATAATATACCAATACACAAACAATATAAGTACTTGACGCTTCCAATATGAGGGCAATAAACATACAATAAGCACACATACAGTACACAACACTTTACGTTTATACAAACTTACTAATTTGCCACTCAACCGTGAGAATAAGAGCACGGCGTAAACAAGGCACCACATTCATACAAAATTCATTTCGTGTCCACAAAATGCTTTGAACCCGTACTTACCCTGACCCAGCTACACAGATCCTACCAAAATCCAAACGGTTACAGGTCCATCATTAGATCCATGTCCTTGTTCTTCTTCCTCGCTGCATGCACAAGGCTATGATCAGCCATTCCTTGGCCACAGCTATTCAGCACCTGCCAGACACCAGCAACATCTATTTGGCTCCAATTGTAGTCTGGTGAGATGACGGAAGCATAATCTCGGAACATCTCGAACCCATTGTTAAAAGATTCAACCATTTCATGGTTAAATTCTTCAGATTCAGTGAATTTTTGCACAGCATCTTTCTTTGTTTCTTCCAATTTGACCTTCAACCACTCTAACTTTGCCCTCCGACTTTTGGCTTTCATTGTTTGCTTCACTTCTCTAGCATATGCATTGTTCAGCTTGTTCGTCAAGTTTCCCATCACCTGGCCATGAATATCACATTTCGTTTCCCACCAATCCGTTGCCGCACACAAATATTGGAGGTCCTGCTTCACTTCAGCAATTTTGTCTAGTGGATCATTGTTGTCAGCCTCACTTCCAGATGACGTGGGATCGTTATTTGGAGTCCCAGGTGGAGATGGGAAAGGGACATGCCATGGCGGGTCTCCCGGGTAACTGCCATGGTCGTTCGGAGGGATTACGTCTGACATCTTCAACTATGGATGGGGAAATTGCACACATGCACCGTGCAAAACACTTAACATTAGGTAAATAAGTAGGCAGTTTTTTTTCTTCGTAACCAACAATAGGGTGAGCTTTAGTATAGCTTTGCGCTCTGCTATATATGGAGTACTATGTTTGATATGGAATTCAATGAGTACGTTAAACCCTCTTATATAGAGGAAGATTTGTGTTTTATATTTATTTCAAATTGGTCATTACAGCTCAGTCTGCACCCTGTCCTCTTTGTAATTAATGAGAGCATTGTAAGATGCCCATTACAGCCTTACCAAATACGAATAAAGGTATGTCAACGGTGGAATAATCGCCCGTACAAATATACACACCTAAACAACTGTGAATACACAATAAACACAACCTTACTAAAAAACTGTATACTATCTGAATATTCAAGGTCTTCACATAGTAATACTACAAATGACGACCAAGTTCCCTAATTATCCAAATAACGAAATATACATAAATGTTTATAAATTATTCAGTATTCCCTACAAATGACGATACTATATGTTGACCATATGAGAAAATTAAATAACATGAAAACAGTCATATACAGTCCCGACCCACATTTCAAGGGGAAGTTAACGTCAAGTGGGCGGAATACACATGAACTTATTTGCAAGTATCAAAATTCACAATTCGGATTTTACCGATATATTTAAAAATGGAACTCATCTACATCCGTTATTTGGAAGATAGCAACAAATAAATTCGAAACACATATACTTTCATGGTCCGTTTTTGTAAACATCTGCATTTGTACTTTGTGAATTTGACCGTACTTATAAATTTGGGACATTTTGTACTTTTGGGACATTTGAACCTCATACAGGAGGGAAATTGGTCAAATAGGACAACAGGAATAATTTGCAAATACAACAACGGTCCCATACAACAAACACCAACCAATAACCTAATTACACAAACCCCAAGTGTAACGTGTTGGCCAACAATTGGAGCCAACCACTCCCGCCAAAAATTGGAGCCAACAACTCCCGCCAATAACTCCCGCCAGTTGCTGACTGTCATTTTCTCCTGCTCATTATTACCTCCCACTATTTAATTGTAACCCAGCTGCATCCACCCAACATTTCCATCACATTTACTCCGTCAAAACCCCCCTGCTTGCGCAACAATTTCAACCATATCACAATTACTTCCAGTTTGGGCAAACTAATGCCCACACCAACCCGCAGTAAATACCCAACACCCATGGACCGAAACCCCACACCAAACCCAACCCTTGCCATTAATGAAGGAGGGGACAATGACACACCTGCCAAATCAGCAACAGAAGACACTGAAGACTGGGTCCAAGGACTGCAGCAATGTCGAGCCAATACCATGTTCTGGAAAAATCTCCATGCAGACATAGTGTTAAAAATTAAAGAGGGCCAAGCTAGGTGGGGTATCATAAAAAACTGCACAATTCGGGCGCGTTATGAAGCCCGGATGCATCTCCTACATATAAAGGCTGTCAGAGCTAAAATTGAAAATGCCCCTGCCACTGCAGTTCTTGTATTCAAGGAATCTGACGAAATGGCTGAGCTGAAGCAAAAACAACTGCAATCTGGTTTCGAACTATTTAGGAAGTTTGCAAAAATTGTGGATGCAGAAGGAAAGTGGGACATCACTGTGGGAGGGGTCATGAATTTAATGGGTCGCGGTCGCCGCATGTGAAGGGTATGCAACTCGAAATGTATCCACAGACGGAAGGTATGACTTGTAATATGACCATGTCAACGGTTTAGGACAAACTTTGTACAGTGGAATGGAAGTATGACTTGGCCTCTTTTTTAATTATGTGCGGATGAGGTGCCCTGTTTATGTATTTATTTTGTATTAGGTAAGTTTGAGGGGGCCTCTTTTTTTCATATGTATAATGTAATCTTCAGGTGCCATCTTTGTTAACATTGTATTTAGTAAGTTTGTGGTCATCTTTTGTGTTGTTTTGTTTGTTTAATATGTTGTTTTATGTAAGTTCACGCTGGGATGTTATTTTATTTTGTATTCTGCCAGTTTGAGGAGGCCTTCGTATTGTGATTGTTCCTGTTGCCTTCTTTATATTAAGTATGCTGGAAGTTTTAAAACAGTAGTTGATGTAATGTGGATGCATTCATTTCAGATCCAAATTATAACGTAATTACCTTCCACATAGTTCAACTTTGTACACTTGTCAAATGACATTGCAAAACCAATACTGAAGACAGTATAAAACAAACATTTTTGAATAGCAGTACCAACCGAAAATAATGCACAGGTTACATTGCAATGCCAATATACGTGCAATATCATGCATTAGAAAACCAATAAAGAGCATTACAAGCTCAATAAAGAGGCAATAGCAAACCAATAAGTTGCACAATAACACCAATACGTCAGTAAAAAACCAATATACACGCAACGAAGAATTAACATGTACTGTATTTCCAAGTGTATACCATGCCGTATGTGGATTCCAAAATAAGGGTCCGAATAACATTCCAATTGGATTAGGCCCTCAGTCAGGGCCGTCCCTGAGTTTGTGAGGGCCCTGTGTGAAACTTAAATTGGGGCCTCACATAATTTAATACGAA